AGTGCCGATCAAATTCTAAACGTCCACAATTCCGCGAACAACTGACAAAAGTCGCGAAGACTCTAATTGCTGCGTCCCTATCGATTAATTTCCACTTCGTCGATTCGAAATTACATTTAAGAATTAAAAATACAAATCAAGAAGTAGACAACTTTCGTATATCTCTGTGTAGCTCGAACAATAATTCTCTGAATTGCCGAATAATGTAGGAATGTAAGAAAAGAGGATCAGTCGCGATCAACGTGACAATCAGATACTGACTTTTTATCAGTCCATTAGCAATTTTGTATAATCCAAGTATTAAGAGCATTTAAACAAATATCTCCAGCATCTTATCACTTCACGTAAAAAGATTAAGGCAATCGGATTGACAATTAATTGGCAACGTTATGTCGGACAAACAGGTTTCGAGCCCACTTTATCCACGGATCCTTTTATCTCCTCTACGTATTCAAATGCACTTACGCAATACCCCCGCGGCGTTTTTCGCGTTTCCGATTTGCAATGTAGCATTTGTCTACAGATTTCTGACGTTATGTCGTTACCGCTTTACGGTACGCAGCGATAATTCGATAATGGAAGTCGCGTATTCCGAAATTTTGCCACGTTTCGACAATTTACATTACAAATAGAGACGCGAAACCTCTTGTCAATCGTTCATAAAACAGTCGGTTGACAGCTGCCAATATCTGTAACGTTTATCTAATCGGCTTCAACGCGAACACCGGGAAATTTAGCGTAATTGATTAACGTTCGAATAATGATGACGCTTCTACACGGCGATTGTTCCGCGTCGCTTTTGTGTCATTTCTCGAGGAAATGTAGGAAATTGTGCGCGCGACAGCACACGCTCGTCTCTTACGAGGACCCGATCGCATTCTCATCGCAACTTTCGCCAACAACGATTCTGTGCTTGAAAACCAACTCGAGACAGAGTCGCGCGAACAAAACGCTCCAATTTCGGAGCCAATTCTGCAGACCACGATGCCCCGCTCTCTCTCTCATTGTCCGAGCCACGAGCCAGGCTCGCGATGTTGGCGCGCGCGATTCGACGCGGCGCGACGCGAGCTCGACGAGGCCCACGCGGGGCGACACGACACGGCACGGCACGACACGGCACGGCACGGCACGACACGCCACGGCACGGCACGGCACGGCACGGCACGCGGAGCCGTGCGGGATCCGCGTGGCGCTCCCGGGCGCAAAAATGACATGGTGATCACCAGCACGCGTACGTTTTCCTCGTGTGCACTGAGTAACTGATGCGCGGCTAGCCGCGGCACGCGGCTGTCCGAGAACATTCACAGAAACCTCACAGGGCCCGCTGCTCGTCTCCGTCGCTGCGCGTTTCCACCAGACGCGAATGCGACCTCGGCGACAGTAACAATTTCGACGGCGACGACGACGGTGTTGGCGGCGGCGGCGGTAGTGGCGACGACAAAAACTCGCGGCGCATCGTCCTCGCAGGGCGCTCTCCCGGTTTACGGTTTCGAAAAACGCGCCTCGGTCTCTAACGTCGCCTCACCTAATCTGCAGGCGCGCGCAACGGCTGGCCCGGTCGTCGCGGGCGACGACAATCGCGTAAACCCGCCCGCAGCCGTCCGGCAGGAAAGCAACGGCGATTAACGGCGAGACGACGGCGGGTTATCCGCGGCGATCCCTCCGATTGCGACGCGCGCGCGAATCGATCTGCCGGGCACCCGGTTTGAGCCCGCGTACCACGGCGCGGGTAACCGCGGGTTCGAAAATTCAAATCCGCCGCGCCGCGTCCCGCCACTACGACTGACAGGTCCGTCGACCTAACCTCAACCACGGCTGCGGTGTCCGCGGCCAGTACCTCGACTGGCGACCGGTATCACCCCCGTGCTGTGTAACGCACTGCTCGCGTTAAGAGTCAGGTGAATGAAAGAGCGAGAGAGACAGAGAGAGAGGGGGAGAGAACGAGCGAGTGAGAGACGGACTGACGTCCGACAAGAGAGAGGGGGGAAGAGAGCGAGACAGAGAATGACAGAACAGGGGGTACGAGCGGGCGAAGCGAGAGAGAGAAAGAGAGGGAGAGAGAGAGGATGCCGCCAGGCCCGTGCGAGCAACCTCGTGGACATGCGAGTGCAGACTGATTGGAGCGTGGAGTGTGAGGGTACTTACCCACGAGTCGCGGGATCGGTGGCGGTGGCGGAGGCGAGGTAGAGGCGTGGAGGCACCGACCGGCGGCGGCGGCGGCGGCGGCGGTGGCAGCGTGCGCGTGTGTTTTCAGCCGCCATGACTGGCGCCACCGTAGCGCGACCGCTCGCCGCTCGGCGTCGCGCACGCGCGACCTGCGCAGTCGCGCGACGCGCAGCCACGCGCGACGCTTGCCGCGGCTCTCAATTGCGCACGAGACGCGCACCCAGCAACATCGCCCGCTCCCTGCGCCCGGACGCGCGCTCCGATTTCGTTCCGGTGCCCCCGCGATGCTGCGTTCCCCGATGACACGCCGCTCCCCGTCGTTCGCTTTCTCCTCTCGTTATTTAAACACGTGCCGATGCCGCGGGCGGATTCAACGAGACATTTGTTGCTCCATTTTTCTCGAATCGGCACTGCAAGTGATTGAGATTTTCATACGTTAATAGTGAATACACGCAAATGGCATAAAACGATTAGAATAAAAACAGCCACGCTCGGCAATGCTCTCGGAAATGCCATGAAAAGTTTCACTTCGACCCGGATTTAAAAAAAAGAGCGTACGACCGCGTTTCATTCGATCGCAAAGCTGTTAGGAAGATTGCGACTCACGCAATAGAAATGCATTACTGTGCGAGTACATGTTACATCTTGGTTTATGTACAGTTTTGTGATAACTTGAAAGATTTCAGCTATTTATCGTACTCTCATCTGTACGCAATGTTCAACAGTGACTATCTGCAAATAAGTACATCGGATATTCTAATTGTCAATACATCCCACTGGCTATTTCGCATTAATAATAATTATTTAATATTCTGTAATCAGATAGTAATTAAACAATCCTGCATTACGATCTGTTAAGTGTTTCTACATTAGAAACAATGTCATTTCCCTCGTCAAATTAAATCACGTATCTCGAACATAAAAAATCAATTTAAAGAAACTTTTTTTCAAGATCTTATTAGGACAATTCTAATTTAAACCGGACGTGAGGCGAATAAAGTGTATTGATGAAACAAGTGGGAGGAAGAGAGGAAAAAAGCGAGAAACTGACATTACTTTTCAAATGCGTTATTTCTTCATATGCATCTTGTTATGGAAATTTGATATAGAAAAAGATAACAAATCTCCGTTTAGAAATTATAAGTAATTTGATGTATATAATGTGTATTTTACATGAGAAAGTAACAGTTTTTTTTAAAAAAGCTGCTCTATATTTATTTGATATTTAAAGAATTTCCCCGGAATAATTGATTTACAATCAATTAACCTACAGCCCCTAAGGAATTATTAAATATGTACGATGATAAAACCTCATCGAGTTTCACGCATATAATTAATTAATTTAATTACTATCTAATATTACTGAATGGGCATACGGCTTCAGGATTCATATTTCCAAACTATGAATTGCATTTATGAAACAACCAACAATTGTAATCAGTAAACTAACTGTAACAACACTTGGGCCATTAACAATATCTGCTAATTAATATAAAGAAATATCATTAATGATATCGTCTTTGTACTCATATAAACAAACAAGTAAAAAATTTTCGATTTTTAATGACCAGGTGAACCGAGTGCGACATCTAGTGGATATATCATTTACCATTTTTTCACAGTATTTCTTTCAAATAGTTGCAGAAATCCGCTCGTGACTATTTAACAATTTTGAACATATTTCTCGACTACGTAAATAAATTTCTCAATTATTAACATTGCTTTAAAAGATATTGATTTTTTTTCAACGCCAATGCCTCACGAATAACATGCGTGGCGCTTTCTGTGGTCAAGAAATAGTACTCTTCTATCTACGGTCGATAATCCATGATAAACTTGAAAAGGCGACAGACCCTGTAAATTTTGGGACTTTCTATTTCACACGCATACATACATATAGTACTGGATGGAATATGCACAACGTGTTGACAAACCTAGTAAGAGACAAGGGAGCATTGATCTAGGCTCGCACAAATAGTCTTCTTCATTGGTTAACAACGAGAACTATTAAAAAACTGACATCGTCTGATAGAAGACTGCGTAATTGCAAAAATTTGGATTAGCTTATAATTTAAACTTTAGACATTTCATAGACATATATAAGTTCATAAACAATATAATATACAATTATCATTCCTTCAATATTTGCATTTATGTTCGACCAACCATGTAGGTAACAATTACAGAAAAAAATTCATAAATATACATATATGGTATTGCATTAAAAATATGTGTCTATTTATTGTGTATCTGTACAATGAGAAATCGTGAATATAATTGCATTTTAAGTTAATTGTTTAGATATTTATGTGGAGTGAAATATATCGTACCTATATATTCTTGACTATCAAAATCTGTGATCTTAATGCGTCTATTTTTCCATTACAATAATCCTTACGAAAATTTTGTATCATTCGTATTTAAAACAAGGAATGTTATTCATGTATGAATAATGTACGTCATGACAGCCAGTATTATTTTTAGTAGTACATGATGCAATACTTGGTCGGCAAACTTACTGACACCACACTGCAAGTCTGTATTTATACATTAAATATTAAACAACGAAAGAATGTGAATCGCCAGTAGTTGATTAACGATAAAAAGAATTGTTAGATGACTTTAGGCTGGCAGATGGTTTATTTAAATCCAACGTTTCGACCATAGGTCCTATTGTGGTCATCACATCGGATGGATGTGCCTTCTCCGAGTGACGCCCAGAGATGAATGTCAAATTCCTGTGCTTTTTAGTTTGATATCAATGACGTAATATTATTGTTGAATTCCTTGAGAAGGACCACAACCCGTATGGTCGAAACGTCGGATTTAAAGAAATTTTCAAGAAACCATCTGCCAGCCTAAAGTCGTTTAACAATTCTTTTCATCATTAAATATGAAAAACTGCAACTTTTTGGAATTTTTAGAAAGCATGTGTAATTAGATTTAATTAATTCAGAAATGTGTGCAACGAAAATATTTAATATACATTTAATAATAATAAGAAAATTAATGGGAAAAGGTAGAAATGAAGATATGGATATCAAAAATAATGAATTCACTTGGGTAAAATACTCCCTCCGTGGTGCCAATTGTCGATCGAAAGCCATTTGGAAGTAAAAATATTGCTGTACCGCTATTTCTAAATGGAAATTATTAGAAAAAAAAATGAAATATTCTTAACTTTTGTAAATGGTGTCATAAAATTACTTGTAATCATGACTGACACGACTATGCATAAATATATGAATAAAATAAAAACCTGATTAACAATATAGTATTGTCTTGCAAGACTGTGGCCATTATCATACAATCTACGATCTACTCTCTGCTGTGTTATATAAAACTGCATTATAAGACTGAAGATTAAATAATGCATCCTCATTTTCCTTTTCTGATTCAACCTGTGGCATTGTCTGCGTAACATTTTGCGGTAAAAGCTCTTCTTCTTCTACTTCTATGAGGACAGCCTCTATATGCGGTCCCTCTAATGCGATATGATCCTCCTCTGATTTCTGAAGAAAAGTAACTGTCTTTGAGTTTGTTCGTTTTTTTTTAGGTCGGTCTTCGTGCACCCGCATGTGTCGTCGTAAGTCATATTTGCCGATAAACCCCATGCCACAATTCTCACAATTGAACGGCTTGCTTTCAACATGTTTAAACATATGTCTCCTCAATGCCGCGCTAACCGTAAACGCCTTCCCACATACATTACATACATGGGGCTTTTCACCTGTGTGTAATAATTTATGATCTCGTAACGTGGCACGTTGATTGAAACTGCAACAATTGTATGAAATATTAACATCGTTGTACTTAATGAGACATACAAATATTGTTATAAAAGAGAATTCCAACATTTTTTTAAAAAGAAATTTACGACAAGTGTTATTTTTACAAGTCATGACATATAAAATTATGACACATTTATATTTTTAAATTGACATGTATCTCTTGCATAATTATATCCTATCTTCAAAATTATCTATTTGTACAAAATTACAATTATATGGGCTACAAACCTTCTACCGCAGACTTCGCACGTGTAGCTGCGAGGATTTGAATGAATCTTGGAATGATTCAATAAATTACCTCGTTGTGAAAACGACTTGTGGCAAATATTGCACTCAAATGGCTTCTCACCGGTATGTACGCGTACATGTGTTTGGAGCGTACGATTATTGGGAAAGCGTTTACCACAAAAATTGCACGGATATTTTGGTAGATGTAGGCCATTGGGATCTAAATGGCTAATTAAATGCCTTTTGTAATTCCCCTTATGATTAAAAACACGCTTGCATTGATTGCAAACGTAGGGCGCGACGTCCGCATGTTCCGTCGCATGAGTCTCCAGTTCTGATTTCGACTTGAAGCGGCAGCCGCACTTGAGGCAGCGGTGCCGTGAGAAATTTGGGTGACATGCCATGTGTCTTCTCAGGTACCTCTTTCTAGAATACGCCTTTTTACAAAGAAAACAAGAGTATGGGAAATCGCCAGAGTGTGTTTTCACGTGCGATCGCAACTCCCGATGGCTTTTGCAATCCTTTTCGCACACCATGCAAAAGAACGGACCACTGACAGGAACATGATTATCGACAGTGTGCAATAACATATTCGTCAGTTGATTATAATTCTGCATACACAGTGTGCATTGATATTCGATTCCATTTTCTTGCTGCACTTCCTTTATCCGTATAATTGCATCGCTCACGCTGCCCAATATGTTGTCCTTGCCATCGACAAAGTAGTCGGAATCAGATCCATCGCTGTCCTCTATTCTTGTAGATTGTTCAGCGTTAGGACTGCCCTCATTCAACTTCATTTCTTTATCTGCATTTTGTATTGTGTCATCATATTGTTCCTGTTCATTATCATCACTCATCATTATTTTATCTTGATGTTCCCAATATGCACATTTGTTCTTTTTGGTTGCATTAGATTCCACAGGATCGGAAACGCATGCCTTGCTTGAAGCTTCCTCATTTCCCTGCTCACCCAAGATTTCCACTTCGGGGATAAATACATCGTTATTTTCAATTTCTCCTTGGTCCGAATCAAGTGTTAAAGTGTTCCCCACTGAGTTACTCGCTGATTTTATATACATTATTGTGACATTCTGCGCTGCGAACATTTTCGACATTTCCTCAGGTATATCGGTTTTCATTAGCTGGACATTTACTTGGCCCTCGTTAGGTTCTTGTATAATATTATAAAGAAGATTGTTCAACTGTGAACTCTCCTTGCTACCCCTGGCATTTTCAACCAACTGAGACACATCAATTTCATATTCGTCTTCTTTTACATTCTTGATATCCTCATTTATCATTTCAGCGCTTAAATCTTCAGAACTGTCGGTCATATGTTTAGACATTTCATTGCTCGACATATTTACAGATTCATCCGTTTGTATACTGCTATTTCCGTAATCAATCTCTTTTTCTCTCTAAGAAAAATTTAATAAACCTTGAAATAACTCTTAAAAGATATGTTTTAAGTGAACTTATGTAGATACGAATTAGTTTTCATCATTGATAACACAGAATTATTCAATACCCACAGATTAGACGAAATTTACTTGTACATTCGTTCAGCAGAGATAAATTACAAATTAATATAATTTTTTTCTATTACAGTACCTTGATTTGTGTATCACGTATCATCCTGAGTTTCCTGTCCGACTCTTGCACTTCCAGTCTGAAGTTATATAAAACATTAGTTCGGTAGGCACATTTCGAACAGAGCGTAGTGGGCAATCCGTCATATCTTTCGATCTGTTGAAAAAAAGTTTATTAACATATCGTAAACTATTTGCAGTGACATATGTATAACAATTGATTCTCTCAGAGTAGCGAATAGAGTAAAATCTCGATTTAACGGTCTAATCGGAACGAAGAGATGTCCTGATTTAAAAGTCAATTCAGAAATCACAAAAGCATTCTGTATTGCATGAGGTTTTTATGTTCTCCCTCAACAGAAACAGATACTCATTGACCGATGGGTATTTAGCACAACTTATCTATCGATTCTAGCTATTTGCACTATGTAACTGTGTTGCATAAAACTCATAGATCGCAGCAAATTTGAAGTCTGGTCATGTACAAGAGCGACGCAAAACAGGTCTATAGTCTATCTAAAACAAATGCGATGTGGTCGGTTAAATCAGGAATCCATTATTCGTCAGTCCAAGTCTACAATAGATGATTTAAGCCCTAAGCTTTAAGAAATTGGTCAATCACGGTCAAGTATGAGTAGAATACGCGACTGCGATTAGTCACTTTCTTAAGGCTTGGGGTTTAAATCTATATTGTAGACTGGGACTCAAGGACCGTAACCCCTGGTCTACAATCTTGCTTTAAGTAAGCTGTAAGCCTTAAGCTGTAAGAAATTAATCAATCACAGGCGTTTATTCTCCTCACTCTCACCTGTGATTGGTTAATTTCTTATGGCTCACAGCTTACTTAAAGCAAAGTTGTAGACCAATATTAACTTTTAGTTTTTGGTGTAAGGAAGCTAAATTTTAAGTATTTGTAACACTGGCCGATGGCGTTCTGATTCGCCGAGAGTAAGCGTAAGAGCTCAAGTAAGAGATAAAATTGATTTATTTGTTTACTCCTACTCCTTACTCCAGGCTGACTCCTTGGCGTGGTACAAATATTTTAAACATTATACCTGTATTTCAGCTTCCTTACACCAAAAGCTAAAAAGTTATGGCTCCCTCTTACTCTTTACGCCAGGCTTACTCCACGCATTGTCGACGACGCTTTACGATACAGTGAAAATGTTAAAAGCGAGCGGTTAAAAAGCTAAAAAAATCGCTTCGTCCCTTTCTAAAGGGACGGTTAGAAAAGAGATGAAGCTATTCACCTTTAGCATTTTCACTGTAGTGTAAGAATACAGAATTAACACCCAGGTGACGTTCCCGAACGCAGCCAAGTAATCCATTCCGTATCTCGCATGACGAGCACAGTGCATAATTTATCCTTGTTATTCGCCAGATGTTAAACAGGGATAAATGATGCATTATGCGCATCGTGCGTGAAACGGAACGCACTATAGACGTTAATCGTCTGTGGACGGCTCTGGAGATTCGCCGAAGGTACTTGGGCCAGATGCTTCGTGGAAAATCACTGAGTTTCTCGCGCAAATAATTGGCGCCGTGAAGCGTGATATTCGGCAACAAGCGAGCGTTCACCTGGATAGACGTGAGCTGGGCGAGCATGTACGGCAGATTAATCTTCTTGATGATCGCGTCGTCGTACATGGGTAGCATCTTGCAGCTTTCCTTCATGCACGCACGGCACGTATTCGTGGCGGCGCCGTTCTTCGAGCTCATGTTCCGTCACGTTATGACGATGCCAAAACGACAATCCTCGAAAGGCGACAATTGCGTGGCGAGTAACCTCAACGAGTTACCACGCGATAACCGTGCGTTACTTCTTCGCCGGGAAACTCGCTTCTGTTAAAGAATAATACAATTAACGTTGCGCCGAGTGTCGCGAGGGGTACGAATTGTCTCACCGGTTGGCGACAGTCGAATCCGCGACGGTATCGCGCGTCGAACTTGAGGTTGCTTTTGCCAGAGAGAAACTTGAGGTAACCCGAGACTGCGGCCATTCAGCTCCGAAACCAACGCGCCCTCTGAAGAAGTGGACGTCAACTTTGTGCGTTCGGTCGGTAACGGTACACGAGCTGTGGTTCATGTCCAAACTAATCAGATGGGAATGTGTCTCATGCCCGCCCAGAAAACATTTTGCGCGCAAACATCTGGCACTATGACGACGCACTTGGATAGAATTTTGCTTGCGTTGTTGAGCCACTTTTGTACGTGAATTGATAGATATTTGCGCGCAAAATTATACGTTAATACATGAGCTAGCCCCCAGTGAGAAATGTTTCGTCGATCGACGTCGAAATGATGTCGAATCGACGTCAATTCGACGGTGTTGATGTCGATTTGACGTCGTTTCGACGTCGATCGACAAATCATTTCTCACTGGGCCACTTGCGTGCAAAAGCGTGCAGACTAAACATATCTTACGGACAAAACTCAGGCAAATCTCATACAAATTTGCATGCATAAGACAAGCAAAATTTGCGCGGAACAATTGTTATCTGGGCGTTCTACACCAAGGGATGATCCTACTAATTGTGGCTCATCCGATGCCTCTTCTATACCTAAAGATAATCCTACATACGGCTTGTCCGAGGGAGATAGTATAAAGTTCAAAAGGGTACACTGTGGTTGGTTTCCAATCGTACTAACGTACCAAGCCAAAAAAAAATTCTGATTAGATTAAATCGGAGAGAAACCTGGGCTGCTTTCGCGAGAACATCAAAACGATCCAGATTAAAATGACCTTGCGCTATGAGTGCCAGTCTACAATAGAGATTTGAACCCTAAGCCTTAAGCAATTGACTAATCACAATCGCGTAATCTACTCATACTTGACCGTGAGGGTGCAAACTCATATGGCTCATTCAGACTAGACGCGATGAGCGACGAGCGACGAGCGAAGCTCATTATCCAATGAGCGTACAGGTTTTATGGGAAAGCGTACAGTTTTCCTATAAAGACTGCACGCCCATTGGATATCGCGCGTCGCTCATCGCTCATCGCGTTCAGTCTGATGAGCCAATAGAGCGGAACGGTATACGCAGAAAATTGCGTAACGGAAACCTTGACCAATCACGAGTGTTCTAATGTTTTCGTGATTGGTCGAAGCTGTCGTTCCGCGATTTTCTGCGTACACCGTTCCGCTCTATGAGTTTGCACCCTGAGCTGCTTTTGCGAGAAGATCAAAAAGATCCGGATTAAAATGACCCTGTGCTATGATTGGTCAAATCTGGAATTTCATTGAATAAAATTTCAATGTGACGCTAAGAAATTTCGGATTTGACCAATCATAGCACAGGGTCATTTTAATCCGGATCATTTTGATCTTCTCGCGAAAGCAGCCCTGATTGGTCAATTTCTTAAGGGGATGCTGGAGTGATT